CAGCGAGATAAGGCAGAAGAGAGGCACTGGCAGAGAAAGAAGTAACTTCTCGGGGAATGTGCTGCATGTTTGATGGAGGCAGAGTAGCTCTGGAGATGACCCCAGATGTGTGAAAGACATCTCCATTCATGCAACGACACACTGTGACACCATTATAAGAACAAAGCAGGTCTGTATGTGCGGATATGGAAAGATGGCCAAGATACGCAGAGTGAGGAATGCAAGCTGCAGCCTGGAATGTAAAGTATGATTCTGAGTTAAAAAAAAAAAAAAAAAGATACAAATATATATGACATTTCTGAAAGGCCACAACACCTTGTTGAAGGGGCCACCTCTCAGGATTGAGGAGGGGTGTGTGGGCTTTTACTTTTCACTTGCTACCTTTTCGAACTGTCTGCATTTCTTACAGTGAGCATTGTTAGCTTTCTGTCATTTAAAACAAAAGGTAACACTAATGTTGAAGGGTTAGGAGACGGGTCAGGTCGGTGTCCCTGCTGAGGGATGGGGAGAGTCAGACGTCTGGGAAGAAACAGGCTGGTGCATGCGATGTGTTAGAACGAAGGGCAGCAGTGACGTTCGGAAAGTGTGGAGGGTCCCGGACTGGCGGCCGAAAGCGTGTGCAATGGGTATGACTGCCAGACAAGAGAATAAGTCAGAGAACCGTGCATGTGGGAGGGCAGACATGGAGGATGGAAGAGGACAGGCTTCAGATAAGTCTAGCTGAGCAACGGCCTTGGGCTGACATACATAGGACACTGTTGTTGCTATTGCTGCTGGTCCAGCATGGCAGGGACACAGGGCCTCTGGGAGGTAGTCAGTCTAAGGTGGAGGCTCTTGAAGAGTTCCAGGCAGGAGAGTTTTATGGTAAAAGAATAGGGAGGATCACGGTGAGGGTGTGCAAAGGTGTTAGGGGAGACGCTTGGGCTGGGAGACCATCAAGGGCCATTGTGACAGTCAGCTGCGAGATACAGTCTTGGAATGGGAAACAAAATAAGGACGAGGCTTGCAGACAAGTAGTTTGGGGAGGAGGGAGAGTGAAGAGAGTTGGGAAGAACTAACTAGGTGCAAATCCCAGTTTGCCAGTTAGTACTTTTAGAGCTCAAGTTGTCCGTCTGTGCAATGTATTTAATTAAACAAATTTTGTGAAGGGAAAATGAGATAATGGATTCTATAAATGTTACCTACGATTGTTAGCTTGGGTATTGGACTCGGATTTACCAGGGTTCTGCTCCCTTTACCGCCGGTTACTAGCGGTGCAACCCCGAGCAACTCATTAACATTTCTGAGCCTGGGTCCTTTTTTGCAGACAGGTACAATCTGTTGTCACGGAAATGAAACGGCACACGCAAAGGGCTGGCAGGGCCTGGCACAAAACAGGCGCTCAATCAATGGTCCAGCTACTGCTGTCAACAGGTAAAACACTGAGCAGAGAGCCTGGCAAGCGCTCAGCAAATGTTGATTCATGTTATAATTCATAAGGCGGAGGTGAATAGCTAGGAATCTGCGGGCTACCCGGCCTGCAAAGAGAGGGTGCTTGCAACCCTCCCCCTCTCACCCCTTCCTATCCTGCACTCCGCCCCAGTCCTGCGTAGCCTCCCCCTTTCCGAGCCCGCACTTTCCGAGGATAGCGCTCGGACACTCACCCTCGCGGCTGCCGGCCACGTCCAGGAGCGTCCAGAGCGACCAAGCTGTCTGCCTTGCTTCGCGTCCCGGCCTCCTGCGGCGACTGCGGCGCGCTCGGAGCCCGCCCGAAGCATACTTTTTCCATCCCGTCACTGGCGGGAGCGCCTTCCTCCCGGTCACGTGGGCAGGCCCGCAGCGCAGCGCTCTTCCTTCGCTGTCTAGCCCTTTGGAAAAAATTACTAGCGTTGGTGAGACTTGGGTGCGTCCGAGCATTTCCGAGCGTAGACCCCGTCAGTGTATTTGGAGGTTTACGTGCATGAGAGTAAGGCATTACCGAGGCATTTGCAAGGGTGTGGGTACGTGTGGGTGTGTCTGAAGAGCCATCTGTGTTGCTTGCATGTGAGCATTCACCTCGCTGTGGATCTGAGGGTGCATGTGGGCATGACTCACGGTGAAAAGAGAGTACATTTCCCTGTGTACTGAATGTGCATGCACTTACGAGTGATTAAAAAGCATGTGTACGTGTTTAGGTGTGTGTGTGTGCAAATATACATCAAAGCTTGTTTATGCACATTTACATGCACATGCTCAAGATTTCAGCGGAAGTGTACTTCAGGTGCTGGGTGCAGACAACAGTGGATGGATAGCTGTTGGCTGCATGTTTAAATATGTGTAAGACTGCATAATCACATCAGTGTGTGTGTGTGTGTGTGTGTGTGTGTGTCTGTTGGCTGCATGTTTAAATGTGTGTAAGACTGCATAATCACATCTGTGTGTGTGTGTGTGTGCATGATGTCTGTGTGGCGCCTGTTTGTGCAGTGGCTCATTCTGTGTGTTCATATCTATGCATGCCTTGGTGTGGATTTTGTCCACATGTGAGTGGGCACATACATAATAGTGTGGGCAGGTGCCCCTGTGTCGCATCTCCCTCCTCTCCAGAACGTGAGGCTTCGCTGGCCTCATTAACTCTCAGACCCAGCCCTGCTCTAGAGTTCCAGCTCCCAGAACTGGCAGAATCCACTAGGGGAAGAAAGGACAGTAGAGGCCTGGCTTTTGCTTTTCCCTCTTCCTTCCACTGCTCTCTTCCACTAGCTACCAGTATTTCACTTGGCTGCCAGAACATCTGGGTAACAGATGGTATGTGACCCAAGGTTTACAGTCAGAATTTTAATGTAGGTATGCATTTGAACTCTAATGCTGGTTCCACCACCTCAGACAAGTCAGTGACCTCATAGATGGTGTTTCATTTTCTAAAAAGTTGGGAGAATAATAATATTATCACATTTGATTTCCCCCCGCAAAGTTGGGACACTCGCCCATAAAGGTGTTTGGTAAGCCACTGAACTATGCAGAGAATTATTACCAATATTACATAAATATTACTTGAGGATGAAAGTTAGTGGGCTCAACAAACATTCATTCGGCAAACATTTAATGATCATCTATCACGTATCAGTCCTCAAGTTAGGTGCTGGGGTAAACCAAATAAACTTGGTGCCTGCCCTCATGGAACTTGAGTCTAGTGAGGACGACGCAAGCGGTTTCATGTGGCATGAGTGTTACAGAAAAGAAAAACATCGAGGATAAAACTAGATGGCCAGGGGAAGGCCTGGGGAAGTGAGGTTCAGTTGAGGGATGACTGAGACTTGTCTGGGTTTAAGGGAGAGGTGAGCTCTAAGCATGGATGAAAGATGACATGTGTAGTAGACTGCAGCACGTTGATTCACAATCTTTCCATTGCTGCCTCTGGGTAAGCCGGTCTGTTTCCGGATGTGTCAGGAATGGAAAAAGTGAGGAAACCCTGCTTAGTGTGCTTGGAGGCCATGCAGAATCTAAAAGGGTCAGGAAAGCCCCTCTCCTAGGGTAGAGGAGAGGTCTTTGTGTGCTACCCTCAGCAGTCCACTGCAGCAGAGGTTGAAATCACAGGCATGCTCTTGCTGCTAAGGAAATGGTTAACGAAAAGTGTAGGAAAAGGCAATGGCGCCACACTTGGCACCCTGCAAGCAGTTAATAAATATTTATTGGCTGAATGGATGGATCAATGGGGGTGGATGCTTTTCCAACTTTTGGAGGAGCCCTGGAGCCTAGCAGAGTCCTTGGGGCCTTGTCCTGTGGGCCTTTGCATTGGAGATGGCTTCATGTAGCAGGAAATCCAAAATATTCATGAATGGCTATTCCAAAAGGTGCAGGAGCTTCCTCAAGCTAAAATGGAGCTCAGAACTTTTGAGAACTCCCTCTAGCCTGTATCTGTCTTTAATTCAGTCCACAAACATCTAGTATCTATTATGAATATGAAGACAAGGAGATGAACTTCTGGTCTACAAGAAAAATGAATGAAAATACAAATTACTCTAAGAGGCAAAACAGTGCCATAAGATACAAAGTGTTATAGGAAATGAGGAGGCTTTTTCCCTTTGCTTGATTCAGTTCAATTTGTTTCACATCTTGTTCATGCCTAGAGAACATGCCCAGCACCAAACAGGAAAAGATGAATGACATTGTGACAATGATGGCCGCAGAGATTTTACGAGCTGGCAGGGACAGCCATGTGACAGATGTGGTAGATCAGCTTGTTCCATATCGTCCAAACCTCTGGCAGGTGTACCTTCCTATACTACAGAGGCTTGAAAGTTAAAAACTCATTTCCTAGACTCCTTGCTGCTGGGGTTTCCATTGTAATTTAGGTTGAGCCAGTCTTGTGCGCTTGTGCAAGACCTGAATTCAAACTGAGTTAGGGGAAAAAATGAGTTAGGTGGAGAAGAGGCAGCAGCCTGGGAGGAATCCATTTTGCTGGTGCTGACCCAAAAGGTGCAGTATGGCTCTGGGGCTCTGGCAGTAGCTCCTGGTCCCCAGATTACACCTAGGATGGTGTGTTCCTGGAGCTGGAGACTGGACCAGTAGCCCCTCCCTGAATTCCTAGCTTCCACATTGTGGCAGAAGGAGTAGTTCCCTTGGGGGGTCAGTACTGTGGTGGTATTCTGCAAATCATTCTCAGAGGCCCAGGCCAGTGCTCACTCTACCATGATTCTGAATTCATTCGATTCTCTTTATTAAATCCTGTCTGCTTCAAATAGCTAGAAGCGTTTTTCATCTTCACTGGAATCCTAATTCATATGCCATGCTATGAACTGCGAAAGTCAGAGAAGGTAGATGAGTGTGGATCAGAACAAGCAGGGAAGAAATTCAGCTACTTTCTTTCCTCTTTCAATGCTACCTCCTACCCTCAACCCTTCTTCAATCCTCTAATCAGGCATCGAATTCATTAATCAGTTGATTAGATATTAAACAACTACAATGCACAAGGTATTCTGCTAGATGTTGGGGCTGCAGAAGTGAATAAACAAGGTCTCTGCCTCCATGGTGCTTATGAGGAGACAGATGCTCAACTAGCACTTAAATAAATATATAATTCAAAACTGTGGTCAGCGTTATAAAGGAAAAGAAGAGGGAAATGTGGGAGAGAATGACAGTGTGCAGTCTGAGAGAACTTACTTTGATTGGGAGGTCTGGGAAGATCTTCTAAGTAAGTAACTTTTAAGCTGAGTCATAAAGGATAAAAAAGGGCCAGCCATACAAAGGTGGCGAAGGAGGACTGGAGAAAGGTCCAGGCAGAAGCAGCAGAGTGAGTAAAAGCTATGTTAGCCCTGCTCCATACACATCTTTCTAATGCTTCCTTGCGTAACGGTTGCAGGATAAGGCCGAAACGTCTGAGCCTTTCTGTAGTCTCCCTAACAGAAAGGACTCCGTGATTTGACATCTTTCCAGCCATTTCTCGTATTTTTCCTGGATATCAGGATTTCTCAGCCTTGGCACTACCGACATTTGGGGCTGGCAAAGTCTTTGTTGGGCGGACTGTCCCATGCATTGTAGGATGTTTAGCAGGATCTCTTGCCTCTACTTTCTAGATGAGAATAGCAGCCCCCGCCCCAACCGCAGCTGTGACAACCAGAAATATCTCTAGACATTGCCAAATGTCCCATGAGGGGCAAAATCACCCTTCACTGAGAACCACTGCCCTATGGGTAGCCCTGCTTTGTCAGGGTAGTTTTTTGCTGGCTCCTAAATGCACCCTCAACTTTTATGTTTCTGCACCTCCACTTACACAGTTCCCTCTGACTAGTACCCACTCGTCTGCCTCTCTACAAAGCCGTACCTATGCCTACTAGGAATTCACAGCTTTTATCTTCCCAGCACCCCTCTGTCCATTGGGGAATTCGGTATGGATGATTCCCATGTGTATCCGGTGGTAGGGAGAGTGGTCCATCCTAGTGCACTGCCCGCCCTCTGGCGGCAGTGGCAGGGGTATGCGGACCAGGTACCCTTTCTTTTTGTGCCCAGTTAAGAGTCTAGACATGGACATGAGACTCAAGCAGAGCCAATCAGAGTCTTTCCATGTGATCTCCATGAGAAGCATTGCTTTTCTTCTGAATTGTTAACTGTAAAGAAATAGACCTGGGTTGCCACTAGCCTATTTCTTGCTGCTCGGAGAGGGAGTGCTGATGGCATTCAGTACACAAATGGAAGCAGATTCAAGAACTGAAAGGTGGAGCAGGTGCTATGACTACATCGTGAGTCCTTTGTTCAGATGCTTGTGCTAAAACATTCACATCTCTCATTTTTTCTCTTTCTTTAAGCTAGTTCGAAATGTTTCTGTCAGTTATCATGGAAAGATATCCTAATGCTGTATCCTTCAAGGCCTAGTTCTAATCTCTCCTCTTCCATGAAGTCCTCTCAAAACAAAAGTCTGAAGAAAATGCTTGCTTCAAATTCCTAACTGGTGGTTTGCTGGAGCCAGCAGCCAATCCGTGCCGCTCTTCTCAACTCTGATTTTAGTGATGTCGCATTAGTTTGAAATTGTCATAGTGGGAATAGTTAGACTACAGAATTTAGCAAATGCTACAAATCAAGGCTGCCTTTCCCCAAACCCGGCCCCCAGCCTGTTTACCAGCACACCACTGTCTAAATCCCTTTTCAATTGTACCACCCATTTGGATATTAATAATGTACTGATTTGTGACATATCTTGCCTTTTGAATATGGTGAGGTTGGGAGGACAAGTGCCCCTGAACTACACTGTAACTGAATCTTCCGAATCTCAAAGGAGAAAGGGTCTTGAGAAATAATTTGGTCCACCTGTCTTCATTTAACACATGAGGACAAAGAGGTCCAGAGACCTTCAGTGACTTGGTAGTTAGTTGTGGAGTCAAGATAAAGCAAGCCTCAGATCTTTTGTCTTGCATCCATTATTATTAAAATGTATGCCTTCCTGTTTGCCTTTTATCAACCTTTTCTTTTCTCCAATTTTGGTACAAAAGTGTTTAAAAACAACCTTTGAATCATTCCAGAGAGCTAATGGCCAAAGCCCAAGCTGTCCATGTTTACTTTCGACAAGGGGCTT